AAAAAAAACAAAAACAAAGGAAAAATGAAGGAAAAAGTCTGAAGTGTATAAGTTACAATATTATTATTTCAGGTTTGATTAAAAGAAGTGGAATCAAAGAATAAAAGCCGTGTCATCTCTGGTGCCTTTCCCCTCAAAGCAATCATGCTAGGTAAACACATTGTTACATACATTGACAAAAAATGTAAGATTAATCACTCCAAAACTAAGGGAATAGTGCTCTACTTCTAAAATTAGTTGGTAGTGTAGGATTGGATCTAAAGCCGTGACTTTAGGTGTATTCCTATAAAGTATTTACACACGCCTTTTTTAAAGCTCGTGTGTCCCACCCATCTTACCTGGCTGCACAGATGCTGTCCGAGACCAGGCCTGCAGGAGGCACTCTGATAGATGACTGGCTGCCTGGTGTTTAGGACCACATAACCCTCAGTGGCATATTCTTCATAGCGAGCGTTGATAACGAGCCGGCACACTTTTACAAGGCCATCCCTGTCATCCTCATGAAAGCAGGTAGACCCATTCTCATACCTGAGGAACAGATGAGCAGCATGGACGGTTGAACAGTGCAAAAGGATTACAGTAATAGTAATTTCACAACAGACTGTGAAAAGGATAATTAGGGTTGTTTGCAATGCCTGGAGATGTTTAGAAGAGAGGGTAGTGAACTTTCTGACCGGATTGTTTAACACAAGTATACTAGCAGTAGTATTTCATTGTACAATCTTGCATAATGACAGTAACGTATCTCATCGTCCAAGGACAATGGTGATGGGCAGAGCTGTAGCAGTTACAGAGGGATAAAGCTGACGAGCCATATTATGACATATTATGGGGCGATCGTGGCTCAAGAGTTGGCAGCTCGTCTTGTAATCTGAAGGTTGCTGGTTCGAGCCCCGGCTCCAACAGTCTTGGTCGTTGTGTCCTTGGGCAAGACACTTCACCTGTTGCCTACTGGTGGTGGTTAGAGGGCCGGGTGGCGCCAGTGTCCGGCAGCCTCGCCTCTGTCAGTGCGCCCCAGGGCAGCTGTGGCTACAATGTAGCTTGCCATCACCAGTGTGTGAATGTGTGGATGACTGAATGTAGTGTAAAGCGCTTTGGGCTCCTTAGGGACTAAGTAAAGCGCTATACAAATACAGGCCATTTATGACGCTATGAGAAAGACTTGATAAAGCCAGGTTAGGATGAGAACACTTTGAGAGTGTTCATTGAGAAATATAGAAAAGGTGATAAAGAGCTGCAATGTGCTGTTGTAGATCTAGAGAAAGCATATGATAGGGTGCCAAGAGAGCAACTGTGGCAGTACATGAGGAAGTCAGTAGTGGCAGAGACGTATATATGAGGCCGGTACAGGACATGAAATGAGGACAGCAACTAGTGATGGGATTTCCGGCTCTTTTTAGAGATCCGGCTCTTTCGGCTCGGCTCACTAAAAAGAGCCGGCTCTTTCGGCTCCGA